ACAGGTGTGGGACTCCTCATGGGGGCTCTCAGAAATAATTAAATAGGGGATGTACTTTGCAGGAGGCTGGAATTTCTGCATAAGTGGTTGAGGGCCAGAGCCAGTGCAATTTGAGTTACATGGAAACACTTGATTTTAACTCACAATTTTACCACCATGTCTTGAATAGGAAGCTAAGAGAAAAGAAGTAAAGGTATATATGCCCCATTCCTGTGCGATCTGCTCTGACCCAATTTTGGTTCAGCTGATAATAAAGAATCTTCAAATTATTTCTAGTAGAACTATCAACCAAAATAAAAACAAGATGTAATAGTCTAAAGAGGCAAATAGCTTATATAAAAACAAAGCAGTTCTCTGCCCTCTCCCCTCACACTTTTGAGTGTTCTTTAGAAGCAGTCTCATTTAACTCCCAGATATTCTTTAGTTCCTTACCTCCAATTTCTGAGTAACATGATAACACTCTGATTTCTTCATTTAAAAACTGTAGATAGTGTTCATTGATTTATTCCTATGGGAGATGAGGATTTAGGAAGAAAAAATCATAGGCCAGAGAATAATTAGAATGCTGATACACATTAGTAGTAAGATGATAAAGACTCAGCAAGGATGGAGGCTATCGATGAATGAAATAGAGAGAAAAGGGGTGTATAATGTCAGTAAGACTTGATAGATGAGATAATAATCAGTAAATAAATTAGGGTAAAAGTCAAAGATAATACCAAGTTTTCTGTCATGATAGCTAAAAAAGCCACGATCCAACTTTAAAAAGCAGAGAACTTTAAAAGAATAATAATTTTGAGAGTTAGAGATATATTTTTCAGGTTTCTTAAGCCCGAAATAACAATTGGTCTGTGATTTTAATTAGGATAATGTAGCTTCATTCCTCAATTATCTCATACTAAAAGATTTTCCTCATCTGAATTTTTATGTTATTGCTTGTACCACTCAGTATTTTTTGTTTTAGGTAGGCTCCACACCAATGTGGAGCCCAACATGGGGCTTGAATTCACAACCCTGAGATCAAGACCTGAGCTGAGATCAAGAGTTAGACACTTAACTGACTGGGCCACCCAGGTGCCCCACCACTCACTTAGTATTAATTATTAACTGACATATTCTCAACATTTCATGTGACTATATCTTATTTCCCAAAACAAATTTTGCCCTTCCAAAAAGTAAAATCAATGTTTTATACTTGTATCCCCCATATCTCACTCTCTGACACTATCAGTAACTCCATACTAAGTATACTTTTTATAGCATATTGTTCAGACACCCTTTGAAAAATGTAAAGGATACATTAAAAACTGTGATCAATATTCTAAGAGATGAAAGGTCAGGTGCCTTTAAGCAATAAAAAGGAACTAGAAAGAATTCTTGGAAGTTAAATATACAATAGTACCAGTAAACAATACATTTAAAAAGAATTAAAAAAAAAAAGAATTGAAAGATAAAGTTGAGAAAATCTCTCAGAAAGTAGAACAAAAAGATAAATAAGATGAAAGAATAAATAAGAATTACAAAAGAAATGAAAAAAGAAAATTTTCCAGAACTGAAGAACATAAGTTTCTACATTGAATGTGATCACCAAGTATGCAGCCCAATGAATAAAGCAAGACCCACCCAAAAGTATATCAAATACTGAAATGTCAAAACACCAAGAAGAAAGAGACGATCAAATAAACTTCAGAGAGAAGACATGGGTTATATACAAAGGTTCTGGAGTCTCAGACTATTATAATCATCTGGAAGCTAAAAGACGATGATCAATGACTTCAATATGAAGACAAAGTATTTCCAACATTGAATTTTGTATCTAGCCAAACCATAAACGGAAAGGTAAAATGGAGGTCTTTTTTCAGACATACACAATCTACAAAAATATGCTTCCTATGCACTCTTTCTCAGGAAGCTAAATAAGAATATGTTCCACCAAATCTAAGAAAGAAGAAGACAGGAGATCCAAGAAAGAAAGGAATCAACATGGAAATGAGGAGGAAGGAACTCCTAAGACAATAGTGAAGAGAAGTCCCAGGATGACAGCTGGGCAGTAGCCCTGTAAAACAGTAAATTTAGATCAGAGTAAGAGAAGTAAGTGTTTGAGGAGGGATATACCCAAGATTAAAATGGATCTGAGCGGTAACCTGATAGGTTTGACTGTTCTGGTAAGTCTATGGTTGAGCTAGTGATAGGTAAAGAGTTAAGCAAACAAATGAAACAATGAGGTAATTGTTAATTCCAGGAGAAGCAAAAACTTTAACAAAAAATAAATGTACCCACAATCATAGTAAAATACCCGACTTAAATGGTAAAAAATATTCACATAACTCTGATCCTTTAAACTTTGAATACCTTATTTAATCAAAATTTTTGAAGTAATTGGGAGGCTGGAGCAAGAGGAGGAAGAATGGTATGAGAGAAAAGAACTAAATCCTCAGCTCCCATAAGAATAAATCAATAAACAAAATCTATGATTTTTAATGAAGAAATCAGAGTGTAATTATGTTACTCAAAAATTCAGGTATAAGGAGCTAAAGAATATCTAGGCGTTGAATAAGACTGCTTCTAAAGAACAGGACTCAAAAATGTAGAGGAATGGAGCAGGGAACTGCTTTGTTTTTATATAAACTATTGGACTTTAAGACTGGTATATCTGTAACTTTGGAAAATAATTTAAAAAGTTTGGATAGTAACTATTGTATTTTAAAATGGTATATTTTACCTCACTATATATATATATATATATATATATATATATATACACATATATGCAAAAAAGAATGAGACATTTTTCAGTTTATTGTCTTCTGGCATTTCTCCCTAGATACCACTCCCCACCTCCTTAGAAAAATAACTATGTACATTTTCACAAACTTAAATAATTACACATGTACATTTTCACCACTGTTCATACTGTCTTATGTAATTGCTGACAACATATAAAAACAAAAATTGGTTCTGTTTCTTTCTATTATAAATAAATTATTAAATTATGCATGTGAGCATTTGAAACATATACCAGTGAAAACTACCAGAGCAAATACTCTCCTATCTAAGCAGGTTGGTTTTTTTTTTAAATAGTGGAAGGCTATTAAGACATGTGTTCCGTACGTTTTGGCTCTGTGGTTTCTGGCCTGTAAATGATCCAGTCATTCAATTTATTCATCTAATATACCTTTCTTTCTTTCTTTCTTTCTTTCTTTTAAGTAGGCTCCATGCCCAATGTGGAATTTACCACCCTGAGATTGAGTTGCATGCTCTACTGACTGAGCCAGCCAGGTACTCCTATAATACACCCTTATAAATCTATTTATATTCAAGGCATCGTGCTAAATTCTGAATTTCCTGAAATCTTGAATATTCTCATTTGCACTTAATGGCCTTAAATACCATAAAACGCTTAATCCAGCAGCGTATATCTTGTAAACTCTACAGGCAAAACGACCCTCGAACTCCTGACCCCAAGATCAAGAGCCACATGCTCTGTGGACTGAGCCAGCCAGGCACCCCTAGCAGCATGTATCTTAATCTGTTAACATTTGCAATCTTTTTTCAGGGCAAACTCCTGATTTGAACAATAGTATTTGTTGCTTATAAATTGATATGGAGACCAAAAACACACAAAACTTCTAAATTCAACATTCTGAAGATGCTATTATCTTTTTAATTTTCTTCTTTTCCAAGAGTTGGATAAGTATCACAATATTGTGTTAATGTAAAAAGGTGGAAAAAGCTCCATCTTCTGTATCCTCAGGAAACCGTACTTCCCAAGCAAGTATTAAAAATATAGCAATAAAAAAAAATTACTAGCCGTAAACCCAAAGAAGATATAAGTTCTCTGTCTTATTCACCAGAGCATCCCCAGTGCCACAGTATCCAGCAATGTACTTGGTCCTGAAATGTGTTAAATGAGTGAATGAAACTAGTTTGTAATTTTGTCTACCTTTTCTAACTAAAAGAGACAGATACCATTCCATTAGGTGTCAGGTATTTACATGCCTAACTACAAAGTAAGACCTGTCTTGTCAATTGTATCTCTTGGGCCTAAAAAAATGATGAAACACTAAAAAAAAAGGCCGCGGGGGGGGTGGTGCTCCTTGTCGAGAACAGGTCATAATAGAATCCAAATCCCATTGTGTCACCAACAAAACGTCGAGGCTACTCCGTCCTCTCTGAAAATTGCGTGGCTTTAAGACGAATCAATTCTAATTAGAAAACTCTTTCAAGAACAGGCACTTCCCACTCTATCCAAAGTGAGGCCAAGTTAACAAAACCGCAAAGACTTGGCTAATTCAGGCACAAGCTAATTTATTATTACTGGCCCAAATTACCCAGGTTTGGTTTGATTTTTTTTTTTTTTGCTGTGCAGGCCAATATCCACAACCGCACTGACGCCTCAAGTAGGGCGAACGTTTTCACCAGTAGCTGGTGGGGAGCCCAGTGTTTCTCAGCCAAAACCCTGGGAGATTGGGATTTATGCGGTGTAGTAATCCAAACACCTCGAGTAGATTCCAGCCTTTAAAAATCTGCGTCTCGTAAAAAATTCCTTCAATTTTCCATATTACAAGCCGAGGAAACAAATCTCCTGAGCTCTTCGGGGACGAGCTCTTTTCCAAATAACACAAACACCGCCAACTCCCCATTCTTGAGCCCTAGGCTGGGGCACACACAACCCAGATCAGAAGGGTCACAACAAACTGGACACCGCCCGCCTCGCCTTTAAAGAAGCCGCGCGCGGTCGGGCTGCCCCAGAGTTCAACTTCCGGCCACATAGTGAAAGGATGTTTTCCTTCTGGTCACGCCCTCCTAGCCACGCCCGCCACGCCCCGCCTTCCGAGTCCGAGCTCTGGCTCGGCGCGGGCGCGCAGGAGGGGCGGGGCCGCATGGGGGCCGCTGCGCGGTTCGGCCTCACCCGGCGGCGCGCAGGCTCGCCCGGAGCCCGCGGTTAGCGCGGTGGCGCGCGCGCGCGCGCCGGTGCCCTCCCCGTGACGTGCCTGGCCGAGGCCGCGCAAGGGCGCTGTTGCTGCCAGTGCCGCTGTCATGGCGTCTGAGGCGCTGGCTGAAGAGAACCCGCCGCGGTCTCTTTAGAGTGAGGGGCTGGCGGCTGGGTATGGAGAGCGGCCCCGGGAGCCTGCAGCCGCTAGAACACGGGGTGGCCGCCGACCCAGCGCCAGGGACAGGTTCTCCGCAGGAAGGGCAACCGGAGACCAGGCTCGCCGCTGGGGATGGTCCTGGAGTATGGGCGGCGGAGAGCAGCGGCGGGAATGGGCAGGGGGCGGCGGCCGCCGGAAGGAGCCTCTTGGACTCGGTTTCTCCCGGCGGCTCTCCTCAGGTTCCCGGACCCTGCAGCTCCTTCCCGGGCTTGGACTTAAAGGAGAGCGATTTGAAGAATCCTTCCGCCCAGAAGACGCCTCCGAGAGGGCAGCACAAGGTGACCGCCTCTCCGGAGACAGCCGAGGCCGGAGCGGACCATGGATCGGGTCCGGCCGGAGACGCCGGCCCCCGCCCGGATGCCGCCGGCACCTGCCGGGCGGAGTTGGCGGCCGCCGGGTCCGAGGAGCCCAGCAGCGCTGGCGGCCTCAGCAGCAGTTGCAGCGACCCGAGCCCTCCTGGGGAATCGCCGAGCCTGGACTCCCTGGAGTCGTTCTCTAACCTGCATTCTTTCCCCAGTAGCTCTGAGTTTAATAGTGAGGAGGGAGCGGAGAACAGGGTCCCTGGGGAGGAGGAGGAGGAGGGCGCGGGCGCGGCGGTGTTGCCCGGGGCTGTGCCTCTGTGCCGAGAAGAGGAGGAGGAGGAGGGGGAGGAAGCTCAGGTATTGGCAGCCTCCAAGGAACGCTTCCCGGGACAGTCTGTCTATCACATCAAGTGGATCCAGTGGAAGGAAGAGAACACGCCCATCATCACTCAGAATGAGAATGGACCCTGCCCTTTGCTGGCCATCCTCAATGTTTTGCTTCTGGCCTGGAAGGTACATTCTGCAGCTTTCTATTTCCTACCGCTTTTTGGGGGGGGGGGGTGCGGGGGGGACGGGGGGGACGGGGTGAAGAAGCTGCTGCATGTCAGCTGACGGCTTCTTCTTTCCTCATTCATCAGTACTCTGTTCTCTTGAAATTCATTATGGGACTCCTTTGTCCAAAGAATATTCTTATATGTATTTCCTAAGGAATTGCCGGCAACCCCAGGTCTCTCAAGTGTTTAAATAAGAGTTCAGGCTGATGTACTTAAAAACAACTAGGACTTAAACATCGTAAACCCTAGGAATATTTTTTTAACTATATTTTTCTACGTTTCCTTCTTACTGACCTTGTCACATATGCAAAAGAGTGAAGAATTGGGGAAAATGATCTTCAGAAGTTATTATCAATCCGTGTTATCAAGGAGCAAGTTTTGATGGTTATGTTTAGTCGATTTTCCAACTAATACTTGTGCCATTTGGGTGTAGATACTTAAGGAAATGGTGACAGGGAAGATGTGGCCCCTTTGACAAATTCCATTTAAGGGAAAGCATTGGTCTGAGCCCAATTACCATAACTTCTTGGTTTTCAAAGATGTTTTCATTCTATGCCTGATTTTTACTTGCCTTGTTTCTTTGGCTCTATTTAGATAGTTTGACATTATTACTAGTAACCTCGCATCAGAATACATTAAGGGAACTAAAACTGTAATGACTAAAATAAGAAAAGACATAGTCAAGGTAAAGGAACAAAAAAAGGAAGGGCTCTTCAAAACTTAAGTATATCTAGGACTCAGTTATGTGTAATTGAAGTGTCTTACTCAAGCTTGCGGTTTTAGGGTGCTGAGAAGAAGCATCTTATAGCACAATTTTATTTCCAAATTGATAATTATATCTGTTGATAAAATGTTTCCTAGAAAAAAAATATCCTGGATTATTCTGACCAGTTAAGAAGAAAATCAAGTAAAGGGAATAGTATTTCTTATGTGCCTTCATTTTCCTGTTACTAGCAAGGGCTGATGCAAAAGAAAGAAAATTAGAAACCTTGGGAGTATCTGGTACATAAGGGCACTCAAATGTTTGTTGAAGACTGCCTGCTTTTGAAAAGCTGTTGAGCTATTTGGGGTTGCATCATTGATTTACTTGAAATTATTAAAGGGCAATGCAAGACAAAGCACTATAAATATAAATATGTTTATATAAATATAAATTTTTAGGTTATAGAAAACAGATGAAAATGTATTAGATATTCCAAAAGGGGAAATTTTTCTTTGTTTTGGCGTAGTCCCAGAGAGCTTCATGGAATTTGTGGTCTTGAACCAAGCTTTTAAGGAAAAGTAGAATTTAAAATAATAGGGAAGGGGCGCCTGGGTGGCTCAGTTGTTAAGCGTCTGCCTTCGGCTCAGGTCATGATCCCAGGGTCCTGGGATTGAGCCCCGCATCGGGCTCCCTGCTCAGCGGGAAGCCTGCTTCTCCCTCTCCCACTCCTCCTGCTTGTGTTGCCTCTTTCACTGTGTCTCTCTCTGTCAAATAAATAAATAAAATCTTTAAAAAAATAAAATAATAGGGAAATGGAATTCTGGGAGAGGGAAGGGTGTAAACAGAAGGGATGAAAATAGAATGGATTGTGTGTGTGTGTGTGTGTTTGGATGAAAGAAGTATTTAAGTTCATACTGGTGAATAATAATAAGATTGAAAAGGTGAAGAGCCACTTGATGAAGGCCCTTTAGGGTCAGAGTCGGGAGTTAGACTTGATATATGGGCCGAAATCCCCAGGTTTTTTTGTAGGAAGGAATAACAGTTTCCTTTAGGCTTTTCTCTTCTCTTAGTTTCCATACAGTACTGCAGAAGTTCAGAGTTGCTTCTTCCTCTGGTCTGGAATTTTGGGAGATAAATGAGCATTTAATTGTCTCTTTCAGAGACATGGCTTTGATGGAATGATCAAACGTTTGAATTCCCACTAGGGGTGAGGTACTAGAAATACAAAAACAAGATGCAAGTCTGCCCTCATGTAGCTCACTATTAGTGGGGAGACAGATGTATAAATAATTACAGTGTAATGTGGTAAATTCTAAATGTGCTTTGGGATTATAGAGGGAAGGGTAACTGGGGATGGGATATATCAAGGGAAAGCTTTATAGAAGAGGTAACCTACGAACTGGGTCTGAAGGATGAGTGAGAGAAGGCCTTTCAGGCAGAAGGAATAATGTCTTCAAAGATGGTGAAGCAAGGGCGCCTGGGTGGCTCAGTCGTTAAGCATCTGCCTTCGGCTCAGGTCATGATCCCAGGGTCCTGGGATCGAGTCCCACATCGGGCTCCCTGCTCGGCAGGAGGCCTGCTTCTCCCTCTCCCACTCCCCCTGCTTGTGTTCCTGCTCTCGCTCTCTCTCTGTCAAATAAATAAATAAAATCTTAAAAAAAAAAAAAAGATGGTAAAGCAGAAAAAGATTTGTTTTTTTTCCTGATTCCAACCTTGGTCGGGAGTGCAGAGGAAGAGGGGAAGGAAATGGTAATAGCAGAACATAAAATTGATAGGTTGGGTTAGACTATTAAAGAACAGGCGTGCTAATTAATTTGGAGGATATTTTATAAATCTGTGGCTTTTAGCCTTCTTTCTGCCTCCAGGCTATGGCTACACACAAATAATACTCATCAGTAATCATCAATAGGGAGACAGGTAAAGAGATGAAAGGTCTGATAAAGCAGTGTTCTCTAAGTGAGCCAGGGGTGCTAGATGTCAGAAATATTTTCATAATACTAAGATGTTATTTGCCTTTTCATTCTCATTCTTTCACAAGTGTCAGTGGAGTTTCCCAGGCTATGTGATGTGTGGTGACATCATTCCTCTGACAGGAATGTGTGCTTATGTATTCTTCTGTTTAAAAATTTTCTCAATTTTCATTTCTAGTATGGTAAATATGAGTAGATATAACCTACATAGACAAAAGCTCTTCGGAGGACTGTAATTTTTAGGACTGTAATGGTCCTGACACTAAAAGGTTTGAGAAATGCTACAGTAAAGAAAAATAGTAAATATGTTATGAAAGTAGCAGTCAGATTTCAGAAGACCCATCACTAGTGATGTTTACACTTTATATTTAGCTGATAATAGGGAACTATTAAAAATTACTGGACAGAGGAATAACGTGATGAAAGTGGTCTTGTTCGCTTGAGATTAGACTAAGATTGTAGTGAGTGTAGCAGGAAGAATGGATGAGGATAACCCTTTTGGATGGGGAATTCTCTGCCCCTTCTCTTTGATGAAGATAATATTGCAGCCTAAATGATGAACTGATCACTAACTGGGCATAGGAAATGAAGGAGACCATCCCCACCTTTTCTACTCTGGGTAATGGAGATTAATTGGGTCATTCAAAAGATAGAGAATATGTTTTAGGTGGGAGATGTCAAAGTTTGGTTGTGTCAGGTTGGAAATGCCTGATAGTGGGACATGATGACATAAATATTCATCATGCCTCTGGAAGCATGGAGTGGGTCTCTGAGAAGAGGTCAAATTATAGAGAAAAACTGAATAGGGGAGTTACTGAATAGATGTAAGTATGGTAGCTTACTTGCCATAAGTGTGAGAATAAATGAATATTCCATAGGGAGTGGTGAACAGTAATTCTCAACTTTTTTCCATCCCAATATATGTGGGGAACTACAAATTGCCAGCTTAATTCCTCCTTGTAATTCCACCCTGTAATTCCCCATGCCATCTTCAGTAGACATAGAGAAAACAGAGAAACAAAGATTAAACTTGGTGGGGAAAAAGGCATACTAAGCATTAAGGGTGAGAGAGTGCAAAAGAAACTAGTATAGGCATAATTTAAGATATTGAGAACTTGGGGTGCCTGGGTGGCTCAGCCGTTAAGCGTCTGCCTTCGGCTCAGGTCATGATCCCAGGGTCCTGGGATCGAGCCCCACATCGGGCTCCCTGCTCGGCAGGAAGCCTGCCTCTCCCTCTCCCACTCCCACTGCTTGTGTTCCCTCTCTCGCTGTGTCTCTCTCTGTCGAATAAATAAATAAAATCTTTAAAAAAAAAAAAAGATATTGAGAACTGGAAATAGGACAGTGTCATGATAGTAGTCTTGGAGAGAGAGACTGTAATAAAGTGGTCAGTTATAGTCAAGTGCAACAGCATCAAGGAGCTATTGGAGTAGGAAAGATTTTTCCCAAAAAAGGACAGGTGTGAGGACAAGGTTGCTGAAAGTCAGGATAATATGACTCCTCATGATAGGTGGTAAAGTTCTCTTCAGAGGAAAGGAACAGTAATCTCATTTTCTGAAGTAATGGAAGAAATGGGACAAGGAAGATAGACAAGGTCATGTTAAGATAGTGAGGCAGGGGGAGCCTGGGTGACTCAGTCAGTTGAGCAGCTGACTCTTGGTATTGGTCATGATTTCAGGGTACTGGGATCCAGGCCCTGCAAGGCCCTGCATCATTGAGCTCCACGCTCAGCAGGGAGTCTGCCTGTGGATTCTCTCTCTCCCTCTCCCTTTGCCTCCTTGCCCAGCTCACTCACATGCGCTCTCTATATATAAAATAAATAAATCTTAAAAAAAAGAGAGATATAGAGAGAGGCAGATGGAAATTGAGGCCTCATTCTCCCATTTTGGCAGAATAACAATTGACCTGGTCAGTAATAACTATCGAACTTGTCAGTAATTAGCAATGAGAGGTTGTAAAACATGGAGGGGAGGATTTTGTGAGAAAGGTACGTTGTATTTTAAAGAAATTCTAATCTCATGGAGGTTATGTCTAGGAATTTGAGGCATAAATAGAAAGTAGTAAGTAGTAATGGATAAATTGGGGGTACTCTTTAAAAACTTTTAGAATATCAATTTTGCTTTGTTTTTGTTTTTTTTCCCCCAGTAGTTCTCTAATACCTAGAAATAGGAGCAGGAAGAATGGCTCGTTAGAGTTATATCAGGGATTGGGCTTTTCAAAAACTGATTTATGGAGAGTCAATGGAATTAGAGTTGAAAAATGAAACAGTTGATGTTTCTTTTGGGG